ATATATATATATATATAATATAAAAGAATATAACTGTATTCATATATATTTATATTACTATATCCAATTACATCCTTTTCAAGTAATGGTATTAATATCATATTAATATTCATATTTCCATATTCATATTCATATTCATTTAATTATAGTATTGAAAATGATTGAAAATTCGAAAATTACCAAAAATTTATAAATTTTAATATATAAACGTAAAGTGTAAATTTAAGTAATAAATTTAATGTTTTTTAATTTTATTACTTTTCACGACAATACTTTTTACCCTCATATAGTATAGTATAGTATAAAAAAAAGAAAAATAAGAAAGAATCAATTTTTCAAAAAAAGAAGTATAAGAAGGGAAAAAAAGATATAGAAGGAAAGGAATCAAAGGGAAGGGATGACATCGAAGATCAAGACAGTGGGAGGATTGCATGTTGATCGTAAAACGGAGGATGATGACCTCCCCTGAGTTACAAAGCATCTGCTAAATAGATGATACGCCAGTTGTCGTATGTCTAGTTGTCCTCAGCTTCAGACGAAGGCGAGTTGGCTCTAGGATCACATTACTGACTTTATCAACGAATAGTCGCTCATGGGGCCGAAGGCCCTTCAGCTGGCCGCAGCGTTCGTCGTGGTTCAGCTTCTTCTGCCCCAAGCTGACTCTGTACGGACTAAACTTAGGAAACAACGGTCGAAGTCACTGCAAGCTCAACAACCTGCTAACAGTGATTATGAGTACGATTACTATGACAATTATGACGACGACTATGAAAGAAATGGTGAATATAATTTTCGATTATTTGATATTTGGTAATTCTGTAATTAATATTGCATGTTAAATTTTACTGTATAATTATTGTTATTTAAACATTTTTTGTGAAATGGATTTCCACTTAGCATATTTTTATTTGTGTATTATATTGTTTTGTAGTATTGCATCAAAAAATTTAAATTAAATAAATGAAATATTTTTTTTATAATTTTTGTATCATTAAGGATTCTTGTTTTTATATAGAAAGAATTAAATTTAATATTAAAGAATAAATTTTTTAAAATTAATAAAATTAATCTAATAATTAATTATATTTTTAATTAAAAGTAATTGACATATATAATATGTTATAAAATTACTATCTATACAATTTCTTCGTTATTGTAACAGTTATTGTAACGTTATTTGTATTATTTATGAAACAATTAAAGGAAGTATATATTAATAACTACCTAATTAACACCGGAAGTTTCAGATCGGATACTTGTTTTAGCGCTTTGCGTAATGCAATTAATCAATTGTGTTAATTGATAAAAATTAACAATTAAAATTTTTATTGCACTTTATTAAACACTCATTCATCTCAATGTATTCCGGTATTACTATTTTTCTATACATTTAACAGATATTAAATCATTTATCATAGTCCAATACATACTTATATTTTGTATATGTAACATTAATATTTCTTTTCTATTAGAATTAAATTTATAGACCGTATATATAACAAGTGTATATATATGTAAAATATTATGAGACAAATAAGTAAAAAAAGATTATAATTAAATAGAATATTAGAAATTAAATAGAGTACATGGTTCTTCTTAAATAAAACTTTACTTTAAAAATTAAATTTGAAAATTTAAACATGAATGAAATAATGGATTAATATTTTAATAATATTTTTATGTTTAGAAACTATAATTACAACTACACCACCATCATCTGTTACGTCTAATATCAATACCGCAAGTATGCATATATATTATATATATTCGATAAAAAATATTCATATAAAAATAATAAGCATATGTAATATAATTTTTAAAAATTATATATTATAAATTATATATTCAATTTTCATAAAAAATGATGAAATGAAACAAATAAAGTTAGATATAATTAAATTAAAACCTTATAAGTAATTCAAACAAAATATTATAAAACAAAACATTAATTTTATTATATGTTGCATAAAGGCAGGGGTGGATTACCGACAGAAACATTACAAAGATCATTTTATAGATCAGCATTGTCTACAGATTCACCAGCACAAACGACAATTCGATCTTTCATTCAAGGTATTTGATGGTTCTATGTAAAATTTACGTCATAAATATGTAAATTTTATGAATGTTATGTTTAATAATATATAATAAATATAAAAATAATAAAATTAAGATATATATTTAAAAATATATTAAAAAAAAATTAAAATTTGAATATATTTATATATTATATTTATATTTTTCATACCATTTTAAAAATTTATTTAAAAAATTAAATTTTGTAGTTAATTAATTAATTAAAAACAAGTTTTCTTTTAATATCAAAAATAATAAAAACATATTATATATACTGAAAAATGAAACTTAATATTAACATTTATTCTAACATGAACATTTATTGTATACTTTTGAGTTATGTTTTCATTTACAGTTCTTTTATTAGTTTGTAGTATTAATGCAATGACATCAATAATTTGTTACATAAACGTTTATCAAAGGTAATAATATTTTATTATTACTTCAGAGAATTCATAATAAATGATTTGTTTCTAGTAATTGTTTACTTTTGTCCTATTATGTTTTCATTTTTCAACTTATAATACCACGTATTGTTTCATTTGGTCAATCAATATTACGAATATTTTAAATAAACGATTTGATTAATCATATAACTAATTCTTTTTCTAAACATTGTGATTCATTTGGAATATCTTGATTTACATTTCAAACAATTTTTTCATGTTTTATTAATTAGATGATATATATATATTATGAATTACATATATACATACATATATAATCCTAAAGAATAATAGTTAAGATTCACTTTTTTAAATTTTTATTTTATATATTTTTGTATATTTGTATTTTAAGCATTTTTTTGTATTGTATTAAAATATTATTTTTTTCTATATTAATAATATAAATTTAATAATAGCGTTATATATTATAAATATATAATTATAATATATATAATATTATTATACATTATAATAGAAGTTCGAGATGATCTGCATACAACTCCAGAAAGAAATCATCCAGTAAGTACCGAATATAAAATTTAAAATATATTACGTAGAATTATAAAATATGTATAATAATAATTTATTTATATTATTAGTTACCAACTGAAATTGTGCCTGGTGAAAGTAATATGATTAATGCTGTTGCTGTTCCTGGACCAAGAGTAAGTAATACTCTTTTTATGAAAAAAATAATAAATAATATTTCAATGTAACAAGTATTATTTTCATAACTTAGGGAGAGCCTGGTAGACCTGGAGATATTGGTCGTCCGGGGGATGCTGGATTTCCAGGACAACCTGGAACTCCGGGAATTCCAGGACCGCCTGGACCGCCAGGACCTATACCTGATGTAAATAATTAATATTATTAATTATTATTAATTTCAATTATAGATTTATTATATTATATGTTTAATAAAAAATTTTATGAATCATTACATGTGTCTACGTATTATAAAATATATTAATATCTTACATTCCAGAATAATTACATAACATATTTCTTCCTATTAATAATAAATTAATATAAATAGGTATCAATGTATTATCAACAATTAGCTTTATCTCAAGCAAGTCAAGATAAAGGTCCGACGGGAGCAGCAGCACCTTTGTATAGTCCAGATGCTTATTTACAAACACAAGTAGGCCCTATTGGTCCTCGTGGTCCACCAGGTAAATATTTATATTTTAATTTTAATTATTACATGATTATATAATATTTTTCAATATAATAGGTCCACCTGGACCATCTGGACCACAAGGCTTTCAAGGAGTACGAGGAGAACCTGGCGAGCCAGGAACTCCAGGTCCTCCAGGTGCTCCAGGTCCAAGAGGATTACCTGGTCTAACTGGAAAAGATGTATGTATTAATTAAATTACTAAATAATTATAATTAATATATAATTTATATATAATTAATAGTTAAATTGTTGATTAAAATTGGCGTTAGGGTAATACCGGTGAAGATGGAGAACCTGGTCCTCCAGGATCAGTTGGTCCAGTTGGTCCAAGAGGTCTTCCAGGACTACCTGGTCTTCCTGGTATGAAAGGACATCGCGGTTTTCCAGGATTAGATGGTGCGAAAGGAGAGCAAGGTATATCTGGTGAAAAAGGATCTATAGGTGCACCTGGATCAATGGGTCCTGTAGGCCCTATTGTGAGTATTGAATATCAATATTTGTATATTTTAATAAACTTTTAATATTGCCAGATTACTTTTATATCTTTCCATTTATTATATTATATTGAAATTATTGCATTATAGTTTTCAAAATATTTAAAACATAAATATAAAATAATGATGCATTAAAATATTTTAATTTTTTATTATTAGTATTAGTATTTATTAGTACTTTAATTCTTATTTAGTTTGAATAGAAAGTTTATTGTATTGAAAAATTTTAAAAAATAATCTATGAAATATATAATAGGGTCCTGCAGGTCCACGTGGTGAAAGAGGTAGGGAAGGCCCTCCAGGACCTCCGGGAATTAGAGGAGTAGATGGAATTTCTGGTCCGCCTGGACAACCTGTAAGTAAAATAACAAAGATAAATATAAGAATCATGAATATAATATAAAAATAATTGTTGTAGGGTGCAGTAGGTAAACCAGGTTCTCCTGGTTTTCCGGGTAATCCAGGTATAAAAGGAGATCAAGGAGCGCAAGGACCAAAAGGAAGTCAAGGCATACAAGGACCTCGAGGTATTTTTTATATATTTTAAATAATTAATATTTATTGTAATTTATGTATCTACAGTGAAAACGAAAATGATCAACGTATTATCAAAGTATTCAATAAAATTTTTTATAGAATTTAAGAATTATGTATATGTAGAATCTGTAGAATCAAATCTTTTCCTTATGCGTAGGTGAAACTGGTCGTCCTGGACAACCTGGTGAATCAGGACCACAAGGGCCTCAGGGAAAAGATGGAATACCTGGAGAAAAAGGAAGTATAGGAGCATCTGGTTTAGTTGGTGCTCCAGGTTTTCCTGGAGCTCGAGGACAACCTGGAATACCTGGCAATCCTGGTATTCCAGGAGCAAAAGGCATGCCTGTAAATATTGTTTTTTTATTTTCATATGTTGTTTCTATAAATCTATGAAACGAAATGATAATGTAATTCAAATTTGGATGAATATAGATTTATTAAATACGTTAAGCAATTTTTTTACATATAGGGATTTCCTGGTGAAAGAGGATTTAAAGGTGATAGCGGAGTTAAGGGTGATGCAGGAATTCCAGGTCCGCGTGGATTACCTGGTCCTCCTGGAAACGAAGGAAAACGAGGAAAAAGAGGAATGCGTGGACCTATTGGTACACCCGGTCCAACTGGAGAACGTGGAGCACCAGGAGCACCAGGTCTTCCAGGTCCCGATGGACCAATGGGATCCAAAGGTATATTATCAGAACCATTATTATGATAATTTTCTTACAATTATGATACTTTATATTATTATTATTATATTATAGGTCAATCAGGAGATCGTGGACCCGTTGGCCCAATAGGACCAAAAGGAGTTATAGGAGATCCCGGTCGTCCAGGATCACCTGGATTACAGGTTTTAATAAATATATATCTTTGAAATAATAAATATACATATGTTTTATAATATTTTATAATATATTGCTAAATTAATTTTTTTATCTTGATTCTTAAATCTATTATCAGAATAAATTTTCTATCATTCACGAATATTCGTGTTCATATATTCGTGTAATATAAGCATATATATATGCTTATATTAGATATGTACATTAGGCATGCTTATTAGATATATTTAAAATTTTTGATATTAAAAAAATATGAAATATGATATTATAGGGTACACGTGGATTAATGGGTCGTCCTGGTGCACCTGGAAAGCCAGGTAATCCAGGAGAACGAGGAATCCAAGGAGCTGATGGAAAACCTGGAGAACAAGGTCCACCTGGCTTACAAGGTTTGCCTGGTCCACTAGGTCTTCCAGGAGAAAAAGGATATCCAGTATTAATAATATTTATCTTTACCATTTTATTTTTGTTTTTAATGTTAGATATCCGAAAAAATTATTTTTATTTATTATTAAAAGGGCGAGCCTGGAAAAGCTGGTGAACCTGGAAATCCTGGACCATCTGGTCCTAGAGGTGATACTGGAAAAGAAGGAGCACCAGGACCACAAGGTTCACCTGGACCATCAGGAGCAGATGGTGAACGAGGACCTCCAGGATCCCCAGGTCCTAGAGGTTTTCAGGTATATTTTATATTAAAAATTATAAAAACATATATTTTTGAAAAAATTAATAAATTAATAAATATTTAAAATATATGTAAAAATAATAAACACAGAAACAATATAATTTTATTACATAATTTGATGTAATTAGGGTTTTCCAGGTACAACTGGAAATGCGGGATCGCCAGGAAAAGATGGAGAACCAGGTGTTCAAGGACCACCTGGTTCACCAGGTATACCTGGAAATAGAGGTGAACGTGGCTTTCCTGGGGAAAGAGGTGCTGCAGGAGGGCCAGGATTAATGGGACCAAGAGGAGAACCTGGAGTACAAGGATTAGATGGTCCTCCTGTACATATCTTTTGATTTCTTCATATATTTGCTAAAATTTTATTAATTATCTAAAATGTATATAAAATAAATATCTATTTTAGGGATTACCTGGAGTTAAAGGAGAGAAAGGAATTTCAGGACCATCCGGATTAGTAGGATTGCCTGGTTTACGAGGAGCTCCGGGAGAATCAGGTCCAAAAGGAGAAAGGGGACCTATTGGACCAATTGGTCTTGAAGGACCTCCAGGTTGTATGTCATAGAAAAAATATATTTATTATCTTGAAGAAATATATAATGTTAGTATATTTTTATAGGACGGATTGGAGAACGTGGACCTCAAGGTCAAATTGGTCCACCAGGACCACCAGGTGAACCAGCAGAACGAGGAGATTCTGGTTTACCTGGTCTTCCAGGAGAGACAGGTGCTCCTGGTAATCCAGGAGAAAGAGGCCCTCAAGGACTTCAAGGATTACAAGGTTTCCCAGGACCTCAAGGACTTATTGGTTTACCAGGATTAAAGGGAGATCGTGGTTATCCAGGATTAAAGGGAGATCAAGGAAATTCTGGTCCACCTGGTAATAAATAATATGTAATACATAAAAAAATATTCAAAATCAAATTTTATATTTTACAAGCAAGTAAACTATTAATATAAATCTTATAGGTAATCCAGGTGAAACTGGACCACAAGGTTTAATTGGCTTGACTGGATCTAAAGGAATACGAGGTGAACCAGGTGCTAGAGGAGAACCTGGTATTATAGGACCACCAGGAGTACCGGGAAACATTGGTGCACCAGTATGTTTTTTCTTCCTCATCAATGTTTTTGTGCAATATCAATTTTATAATTTAAAATTTTTATAGGGTCCACCAGGTGCAATAGGACCACCAGGACCATCTGGATTGCCAGGTAGTAAGGGTAATGCTGGAGAAGCAGGACGACCTGGAAATCATGGACCAATTGGAAATCCAGGTTTACCTGGCACAGATGGAAACAAAGGTGAAAGTGGTTCTCAAGGTCCTCCAGGTATTCCTGGTCCTCAAGGTCCTCAAGGTTCTCCAGGTGAGAGAGGATTACCTGGTTTACCAGGTCCTTCTGGACCAATAGGTGCTAGAGGAATACGAGGGGCACCCGTAAGTTCGATTAAAATTTTAATTTTATGAAACATAATTATTCAATTTTATTCTGAATTATAGATATATATTAGAATTTATATGTATTGTAATCAATATAATATAATAGGGTGAATCTGGTACACCTGGAAAACCAGGACCAGAAGGTCCACCTGGACTTTTAGGACAAATTGGACCAATTGGACCACCTGGGCCACCAGGAGAAATTGGGGCAGAAGGATCTAGTGGTAAACCTGGACCACCTGGAATAGCAGGTCGTCCTGGAGATAAAGGACCACCTGGAGCAATAGGCCAAACAGGATTACCAGGTTCTCCAGGTTTACCTGTAAGTTATGATCATATTGAACATTATATAAATTGAAAATAATGTAAAATGAAAATATACATTTTCATAAATAGGGACCGCCTGGTCAAGCAGGTCCTCCAGGATCAGCAGGAGAAAGAGGATCAAAAGGAGAAACAGGACCACAAGGTGTAGAGGGACAGCAAGTTAGTTTTTATCATTTTTATTAATGATATATATATTTATAACAATAATCTATATACTTCGAAATTATGTATTTTTATTTTATTGTGACTTTAAAATAAATGTTATAAAAAAAAATTAATTTTTTAATTAGGGACCTAGAGGAAAACCAGGACCTATTGGATTACAAGGCCCTAAAGGTGAACGTGGTGAAGAAGGGCAAAAAGGTTTAAAAGGTCATAGAGGATTTACTGGTTTACAAGGGCTACCCGGATCTATTGGTCCACCAGGAGAAAAAGGAATACCTGGACTTCCTGGATTACCTGGTAAAGATGGTGAACCTGGACCTAGAGGGAGTCCAGGACGAGATGGTAACCCTGGACCAATTGGATTAATTGGCAATCCAGGGCCAAAAGGCCCTCCAGGTGATGAAGGTCGTCATGGACCACCAGGTTCACCTGGTCCACCAGGTCCTCCAGGCCCACCTGGTGAACTTGGATTAGGATATGATGCTGCTTCTTTAGCTGCTCTTCTAGGTAATATTATTATATAATATAAAATTATATTTCTATATATTTCAGAAAAAAATAATTATATAAGAATAATTAATATTAGAATTATTAAACCGTTACATTAATCTTTATATGAATAGGACAAGGCCAAATTAAAGGACCAGATCCATTAATTGGTGATGAACCACCCAGAATGTTTAGTCAAGATATGACAGAACAAGAAAGACAAGAACTAATTCAAAAAGCATATAAACAGCTGAAATCATCATTTCAAAAATTTATAAAACCAGATGGTGAAAAGAATTCACCAGCCAAAACATGTAGAGATCTTTATAGTGCTTATCCTAATAAACTTTCCGGTTAGTTTACATAAATTGTAAAATAATTGTTAATTTTAATTTATTGAAATTAAAATTATCGAATTCACAGAATATTAATATATTTATTAAAAATATCTTTCTTAATATCTTAGGAGAATATTGGATTGATCCCAATGAAGGTGATGCAAGAGATGCAATTTTAGTGTATTGTGATGCCAAAAAACATGCAACATGTTTATTACCAAATCCAGTACATTCTCCAGAAATTATACATATCACTGATCAACCAGAAACTTGGTTAAGTGAAATAGAAAATGGAATGAAGGTAACACTTTCTATTGAATTTACATAAAAATATAAATATAAATGAAACAAATTATTTTTACTTTTCATTTTTAACATATGTAATATTCAGATTACATACAAAGCAGATAGTAATCAAATTGGTTTTCTGCAACTTCTATCAAAAAATGCATATCAAAATATAACATATCACTGTAAAAACAGTATAGGCTATTTTGATTCTGAAAGAAAAACATATAGAAAAGGTATGAAATTTTTAACTTGGAATGATGCTGAATTAACACCACGTGGAAATCAACGTTTAAGATATGAAATGATAATTGATGAATGTAGAGTAAGTTTTAAAATATTTGAATTGATTTTGCAAAATATTTAAGCATTAAACTTTTATGATATTAATATTTTTTAGATATACAATGGAAAATGGGGCAAGACAATAATTTCATATCAAACTGATAAAACTATAAGATTGCCTATTATAGATGTGGCCTTACGAGATATTGGAAAACCTAATCAAAGCTTTTATATTGAAATTGGAAATGTTTGTTATGAATAATAGATTAAAATTTTAAAAATATTTTTCTATGCTATTATAAATATTAAATAATTAAAATTTTCTAGTATTTTAGCATTTTCATATATGTACATACATAGTTTACAATTTGAATTTCTTTTTCTATTTTTTTTTTTTTCTATTATTTTTATATCATATTATTATTATGAATATAATTTTATATGTTAAACACATCAATAATAATTCAAAATTTTAACAATAGCTAAATTTCTTAATTTAATAAGTTTAATTATGCATATAAAAGTCTTCCAATAGCTTTAAAATACATATACATGTATTGTAACTAGCATATAACTCTATATGTAAAATAGTTAATAAATATTAAATAATTACAAAAATAATTTATTTAAATAATCAAATTACTTTCTTTTTCCACACACACATATAATTTATAAATATATAAATATATATTATCATTTATTATTATCATTGTTAATGTTTAAGATTTTGTAATTTTAATAAAACAAGTAAAATATATATGTATACATATTATATATGTAATTAATAAAATATAAAATAAATAAGATACATTAGCATTAAATTTTATACAAAATATTTATAAAATTTTATTCAATTTCTATAAATGAATAATTTCTGCAATTTTTTCATTTTTTTCATTTTTTCATTTCTTCTAAAATTGATAATTTTGTTTTTATTTATAATTGATAATAGAATTTCTAAAAAAAAATATATAAATATGATGCTAAAATATCAATTGATACTAAGTTTATTTTCTTAATTTACATAATTTAACAATATTCATTAATTGATTAGTTCACAATTACGTATTTGATCGAACGATACGTAGATACATGGAAATGGTGCGAACATTTAATAAAAGAATGGTTATCTTTATCCGTTAAGTGTATTTCATTTATATGTACAAATACATGTAAGTACATACTCATACATTCAACAGGTGATTAGGTAGGGGAAAAGAAGCGCGAATTGAAAACTAAAAAAAGGTAGCGCCGTTCAGTGACTAAGTTTCAGTCACGTTTGTCGTTTGTCGTAACACTTGTGGTTTAATGTACAATAATTTGATTGTTCCACATTTTGCGTTTCATTGTGATTTAGTGTTATTAAAAATAATAATTTTATTATATTTTGTGCAAAATTCGTTATATGGATGTGTAAAAAATGTTTAATTTTTTATTTTAATATAATAAAAACCTATATTGAGAAAGGATAATTTTTCTGAATATTAATCGACAAATTGGCGGGATATTATTCTTTATTCTACAATCTTGAATCTTGAAAAAGATAGACGGAAATAGGTTAGTCTCATTGAACATCATGCAATAAATGAAAGGAATGATGTAAGTATATAGTTTATAAATACATTCTTATCCTTTTTTTTTCACTAATTCATATTAAAATTATTCGATGCATATTAGTATATAAATTTATTAAATGACAAAAATATATAAAATATAAATTTTTATATATTAATATATTAAATATATTAATATTTTAATTATATTTTGATTATAATTCAACATTTACATTTATTTTTATAATTAAAACTAAAAAACAAAATATAATTATATTAATTTTGAAGAAAAAAATTTTGCTGAATCATGTTTTAATATATAATATTGTTTTCTTTTCAAATTCAAGAATTAAACTATTTTAACTGTTTAATTATAAAAAAAAATATAAAATTATGATTAATTTATATTTTAATTTCTTGATATACATTATTTGATCGTAATAATAAGAAAATATTTTTGCTTATTTTTTGCACAAAGAAAAAAAAATTATTTCATTGAAATAATTTAATGAATTTCTTTTTAAAAATTTAAAATAAAATAAAAAAAAATCTTAATTAGATTTGATAAATAATTTATATATTACAATTAAATTTTAATTCAAGGATTTATTAATTTTGTTTAAATTAAAAAAATTAAATTTTTCCAACATATTATTTACTAAGATTTTATTAAAAAATCGAATCCAACAGTTTAATTTCAGAACTTTTAATTTTTAATATGATTTTCAGTTATATATTTTATATATTTTATATATTATTTTTATTTTTTGTATCCATATATATAATTATAATGTAATTATAAAGTTAAAAGATGATTAAAAATCAATATAATAAAATATATTTTTTATTTAATATTTAAGTATTCTTTTATCATGTAATTAATTTTTATATTATATTTAATTAAATATAAATTTTATTTATATATAATATTATATTTAATAATATATATAGTATGTAATAAATTCATGAAATATATTATTTAAATATTATAAGAATGATATAGAATGATATAGAAATGATTAAGAATAATATAGAAATGATAAAATTTTTTATAAGTATATATTATACATTACCATCTTGTTAATTTTAATTAAATTAAAAGAAATTAGAATATTATATATAATAGATAGACCTGATAATGATATATTTATATATTGTTGTCATATTTTTTATTTTATATGTATATAACATCCGATATTATATAATTTTGTGTAATTCTATTATTACGTATTAAATATAGAATTCAGATATAGCGATAATCCGGTATCTTTTTTCAGTGTCTTCAGGAAGATATATGATTTTGAAGTCAACCAAATGAAAAATATCTATTACAGTTATTTCGCATTTCGAATTTATAAAAGAATGACATAATATTAATAAATAATTTATTCAATTGATCTTCAATTAACAGCAACATTATAATTCTAAGATATTATCTAAATTAACTGAACTAAAATATTTCTTATCAATTATCGATAACGATTAAAAGTATTATTAATAGCAATCAATTTTATATATAAATACTGTTTCTAGTTTAAAAAACTTAAAATATCGATCTGACGCTCCCATAAAACTGATCAATACATAATAAGCAACAAAATGTCTCTCTTCCGGAAATTTAATGGTAAGTATTTTACAATTTTAAAACGTAATAGCTTATTTTTTCTATTTTTTGACTTTTTCGATTTGTTAATTTCTAATTTATTTTTTAATATAATTATTATTACATCTTTATATTTAGTAATTTGAAAAATGCAATACGATATGTAACGTATTAAATATTGTAAAAAAATATTTCTTATCTCTTGAATTGTTAGAAATACACACACACACACATATGTTTCATATATGTATTTCAAATATAAATATCGGAAATAGATCATGCACATATTTTAGTCATATGATATGATCTGTAAACATATATAAATATGTATTTTTACATATTTCTAGTTTTATTTACACGATTATTTATTTACACGAATATTACTCTTAAATATACAGAAGAGACAGTATAACTTATTCGTAATAAATGCATAAGTGCTAGTTTAACTGAAATTTATTGAAAGTTAAATACGAAGATCAACTTTTCAATTAAATATTATTACATGCAGAGACATAAATATACATATTAATATTCTATTGTTATAGCTTATAATAAAATAATTCTCGTGCAATTTTATACTTAATATTTCATTTTAACATGTAACATTTTAATACGATAAGAATAATGTAAAAAAAATGCAAATATACAAAAATGCATATTCCATTAATTTCGATATCTTTGAGATATATTCTTTAATATTATGAACAATTATTTCTATATATATCGCACAATTTTAGTTTCGAAGATATACACAAAATATATATATTTTGTAAATAATATATTTTTAATATTATAATATATATTATAATATTTCAAGGACTTGAAACAGATTTCAATTATACATTTATATGTATATATATATATGTATATAATAGAAATAATTTATGTGTCGAGTTTTGTATACAAGTTAAAATACTTAAAAATTACATATAAGCGAATTATTAAATGTTGATTATTGGCATCATATAAGCAGTCAGTTCTATATTTATTGGTTCAATGCCATTTATTCTCCGAACGTATGACATTTCAATGATCTCTTCTACTATTTTGCTATGTAAGCTAAAATATATATTTAGAAATTGTATGTAAGGGAATTGTTAAGTAACATCAAGTGTAAACATTCATTTGTTATATTTATTAATCCGATGTCATTTCGAATGATTATATGACATTTCAATTAAATTTAATTTCTACTATATTTTCTTTTATATTAAATTTTCTACTATATTCAATTAAGTTTATGTTATTACATTCTATATGCAATTAATAAAATTATTTTCTTTTTATAATATTAATTATATAAATGATATAATTCTATATAATTATATAATTTCTAAAATATTTTTTTATCAATTCATAATTTTAATATTAAAGGAATTAATATAATAAATAAGAAGAAAAGTTAAAATAGCTATATAATTATATAATAAAAGTATAAAAATTTTATTTTTTTCATTAATGATTCATTGTTGATTTGCGATATCATCATATGTTAGAGATAACGTTGACGTTCATTTCGCAGAATTCTTATAAGTTCATTTCAGTTAAATCAAGAAAATGAAAAGTTCATAAATAAATAATTAAAAATACTTTAATTTTTATTTTTATCCATTTTTAATCATTGCAATACGTTTTATTTCGCACTACTTTGATACTTTAATTGTCGAACGAAATTATATTTTATATGTTAAATGATTATGTGACTAATACATATAAATATACATTTATATAGTATATTTAGTTTGCATAGTTTAATTTACCTAGATCAAGGTTTCGCTATTATAAATTATATGTTATATTCAACTCACAAAAGTTTAAATAAGAATAAAAATTCATTTAAAAATATAATTTTTATTACTTATTTTTTGAAAAATGTAAGGCATATAAGTAATACTTAATTTTATGGTTCATAAATAGATAGAACGTGCGTTATTGTACGTTTGTAAAATGTTTACATCACCTTCGACGAGTCGAGACCAATGCCAACACATAATATGATATCGTGAATGATCGAATGATCAATCTATGTTTTATAATGGAACTTTAATTGTAGACAAATGCATATTTGCCTTTTTCTAAGAAATGTATTAAACTTTTTTTATTTTATTGAAACTTAATTATAAATTTTATTAAAATTATCAATCAATACCAAAAAAAAAAAAGAAAAGATTATAATTATAATTTTGATTATAATTTAGAAGATATTTAATTTAAATATATGAAATTTAATATTGTTAGTATCATCTTGACACATCTTGAATGACGAAGACAAAAATAATTACCGTTATTTTTCCAGTTTTTACTTATTTATATAATAGAACTTTTCTAGGAATTTGATCCCATTTAATTGAATACAATTAATATTGTTCATATAGAATATTGTTCATAATATGTTCATAAATATTGTTAAATAATACAGATAGAACAAATCATAAGTTTCATAAGTAACAAAAAATTATTAAAAATAACTAAATTTTATTAAATATATAAATAAAATAATATTTTATTAAATCTATTTTGCAATTGAAACGAAAAGTTGAAAATTATTTCAAATTTTTCGAAATATACATTATTTAAAACTTAAAAATATTCATATATCTTTATATAATATAATATGAATATGTAACTATATAACATTTAAATAAAATGAAACTAAATTAAATTTTTCTATTTAATAAATAAAATGTGCACGTACATATTTCAGAACGAATACCAAGAAGAGCAATTTTAGGTGCCATGATGTTTTTAGCGTGTATGTTTTCATATATGATTCGCACTAATTTGTCAATTATAATCGTTGCTATGGTAAATACAACTAGTAAAAGTGGAGGAAGTGGTCCAGCATGTTCTGCTACTGTTATCAGTAATACTACGAATACAACTATTGAACTTAAAGATGTAAGACTTTTTTTTTAATTGTATAATACTATATTATATGTATAATACTTTTTTTTTGTATTATTTATTTGTATTTGTATTTATTTATATTTAAGAAATCGCAATTTCAAAAATTTATATATTTTCATCTTACAGTATGGTGAACGATTTGAATGGAATCAACATATACAAGGTTTTTTACTTTCTGGTTATTTTTATGGAGTTCTTCCAGCAAGTATACCTGCTGGTCTTTTAGCAGAAAAGTATGGAGGTTCTAGAGTAGTAGCGTAAGTTATAATATTTTTTTCGTTATTTTATATTAAATTTTATATATTATTTATTTATTCATTTCTTTGTGTAATATTTTAATATAGATTTGCAACACTAATACCTGCAGTATTAAACCTTTTGATGCCTTGGGTTTCTGGTATTCATTATGGTTTAGTATTTGTTCTTCGTTTTTTGATGGGCTTTTTTGGAGTAAGTTTGCTCAATTATTTATCGTTTAATTATTTTTTTCATTATTTAAACTTTTCACTGAATAAAATAGTTTTACAAAAATATATATAAAATTTTGAATATAAAAATACTTTGCTTAACTTTATATGATGATATATTTTTATTTATTAAAACTTCGTAAAAATATTTTTCATACTTTTATGTAATTTTGTATCTTTGGTTTTGAAAATTTTGAACATATTTTTTTTATGTATGAATATTCACTATGAGAAAACATATTTATAAAATTTTTTTATGTATTTCTATAAATTGTATTTAATAACAACAATAATAAAATAACAAAATATTTATTATAAAAAAGAATTAATTAATAAATTTATTAAATTAATAGGCAGCTATTTATCCTGCTCTTCATGCCATGATTGCCAGATGGGTTCCTCCTAGTGAGAAAGGTATATTTGTATGGACAATGCAAGGTATTTATATTTAATAAAAATTAAATACAAAATTATATTATATCAAAATATTAAAATAATATTAATAATATATATACAATTAAAATAACAAGATATTTTTTATTTTAGGTGGTCCTTTTGGAACTGTAGTAACATTTACATTATGTGGTCAAATAATCAGTGCTTTTGGTTGGAAAGTTGCATATTATGTTACAAGTGGACTTATATTGATTTTTTATGCTTTATGGGTATTTCTTATATATGATACACCTGATCTTCATCCAGGAATCACAGAAAATGAAAAAGTTTTTATCAAAGAACAAATAGGTACAAGTGTTTCTAAACAGAAAGTAAGTATAAATTTTTATATTTTAAATTAAATAAATGAAATAAATTATATGTATTTTTATATAATACTAGCATCATTAAATATTAATATAAAACTAGGTGAAACTACCAGTCAAAGCTGTTGCTACATCAATACCATTTTTAGTTTTGCTATGGGCTCATTTTGCAAATATGTGGGGTATATATTTCATTGCCACTAATGGACCAAAATATACTTTAGAAGTTCTTGGTTTTAATATGAAATCGGTAATATTATATTTATACATCATTGGAATTGTTTTCATATAAAACAAACTAAATTAAAATTTTATCAAATTACATTTAGGGAGGATCAATTACAGGATTGCCTTACATAGCAAGACTTGGTGCTGGAGTATTATTTGCTGCAGCTGGTGATTATGTTCGAAAAAAAAAAATTCTTACTTTAGGATGGATAAGAAAGATATTTATGCTTTTTTGTAAGTAAATTTGAATGATAATTAATTGAATAAATTTTATTTGATAGTGAAATGATGAATGAAAATAAATCTATTTTTATAGCACATATGGGTCCAGCATTAGCTTTGATTGTAATGACATATGTTGGTTGTGATGCAATAACTGCAATTGTTATGCTAATAGTAGCACTAAGTTTTAATGGAGCTGCATGTCAAACTAATTTACAAAACCATCAAGATCTTGCACCCAATTATGCTGGTTCTTTATATGGAATCATGAACACTTTTGGTAGTTTTCCTGGATTTATTATTCCAGCAATTATTGGTGCTTTGACAAATGAAAGAGTATGTATAAAATTAAATATATAAAATTTATATTGTTTTGTTATATATAAATGAGTTAGTTAAAAACAATTATTTATTGTTATTTTTTTATAGAATGGAGTAGAAGAATGGCGTGTTATGTTCTGGATCTCAACAGCAGTATTTACATCTGCAACAATACTCTTCTGGTTTTTTGGATCAGCAGAAATTCAATCATGGAATAATTTAAATCAACAAAAAATATCAACGCTTTCTGAGGAAGAAACAACACAAATGACCGCAGTGGCCATTAAAGAATTACAATCAGAAGAAGAAGAGGACGAATATAAAGCAGCAAATGTTAATTAAAAAATTACATTTTAATGGCTTAACATTAAATTCTCTGTACTATCTGTACTAAAGCATTTAATCTTATAATATGAAAATTT